CATTTCAAGGTTTTCATTGGTGGATGGTGTTTTCTCAGAGACCTAACTATCAAACAACTGAGAAAACTACAGTTGTAGTGCTGACTGAAGATTGTTTGTCGAGTTACTATTTCCAGTCAAGGATGAACTTTCAGACCCAACGCAATAACCGTTAGACAAATAAACAAAAACTGACTCATTACTGTTATAGAATAGTTATTGCATTTGAGAAGCAAAAAGAAACAAACAAAATGTACCTATAAAGTCTAAATCTACGTCCCCTGTTCTGTCTATGAAAAAATATAGTCTGAGGCGAAGTAGATTTTTCACACAGCATCTCCACTTATTGAGCCAAACCAGTGGTTGTTCTGTTAGCCCCCTTAGTCTCCACACATTCTCAGCAGTATAGTACCAAAGTACCAGTTTGAGAACCCAATGAATGACACTATGGAGTTAAGGATACTGGTCCTGGTTAGAGAGGAAATAGTAGTAAAACTATTAGCAATTGGAAGAACATTTAATGAAGTATATACAGTAAGTATAATAAGTACACCAAGCTAATTTACTGTATTTATGTATTTAATACAAAATACAGAATAAAATGTGTCGCTTTAAGTTCCCCTTCTTCCAAAAAGGAAACAATAAAATGAGTTCTTTGCTTGCTAGTCGTATGTTTTCTAACATTTGTCTCTTGCTTCCAGGTCCTGGTGTGATTTCAGATCCGCTGGCTCCTCTGGCCACCTCCAGCCCCAAAACTAGAACCCCTGTTGCCTTGACAACAAGGGGAGGATCCACATCAGAGCCTGCAGCATCTGTTGCTGTGGAAATGAATCCCGGCAGCACATCGTCTAATACTGGTCTGACTCGAGGTCTCACCTTTGACTCTATCGCCAAGACACCAGCGAAAACGGAGGCTACTGTCGAGGAAGAACAGTTGAAACTGCCGGAGACCAAAGTGAAAGCTGTAGGAACGGTGGTGCCCCAGGGGGGAGTGAGAGGGGTAGGTGTGACTGACAATGCAGGGTGGTCGCCAGGAGAAACCAGAAGGATATCAGACACCCCATCGAGCAAACCGGGTCATCCGGGAGATGAAAATGCCATCACCGTTGGTAGCCGCATCCCATTGTCAAGGGCAATGGCAGTAGAGAGTAAAACAGATGAGAAGACGAAGCAGGAGAGGGGGAGACAGAGAGATGACATTGGGAGTTCTTCCTCACCCCTCTGTCCTCTTCCTCCTCCGCCCACTCATCCAGTGACCTCCACGAGGGTGAGGGAGACAGCGACCATGACCGACACCAGTGAGATGCTCCATTTGCGGGGAGGGGAGCAGAGAGAGGTGGGCGTCCAGGTGAAGGTTGAGGTGGTCGAACGCTCAGCTTCCACCAGCCCCAGCCTCCACAGGGAAACTCCCACCTCCTCCCTGATTTGCTCCCCCAGCTGTCAGTCAGGTAGTTTGACCTCACCGACGGTCCCGTCAGTTTGCTGCTTCCCTGCCGGGCAGCCGCCCGTCCAGCACATCTGCAAGATCGACATCGAGCTGCGCAGCCAGTCAGTGCTTCCCTCTGTTGTGACTGACAAGGCTAGTTCCCTCCCTGCCTGTCTGCGTACGTACAGCTTCCAGCAGAACCCCGGCCTCATGCCAGAGCTACGACAAAACCAGGACAGAGATGTTAGTGCTGAGAGCATCTGGGAGGACGAGGAGGAAGAGGGTGATGAAGAGCAAGAGAGCAAAGCAAGAGAGCAAAAAGAGGAAGAAGAGGACGGGGATGAGGGGGAAAGGGAGGAAACGGTGAAGCCACAGGAGGTGGTGTGGGACGAGCAGGGGATGACGTGGGAGGTGTACGGCGCTTCGGTGGACCTGGAGTCCCTGGGCACGGCGATCCAATCCCACCTGGAGTGCAAGATCCGAGAGCAGGAGAAACACATCAGGACTCTGAGGAAGTCCGTCTGCTCTGACAGTAGCCTCAGAGGATACAACATGAAGAAGAGGAAGAAGAAGAGGGCAGGGCTTCTGGGATGTTGCAAGAAGGCGCCGGCTGTGGCAGACTGAGTCCAGAAAGCTATTCTACTTAAAACCGATTTTAAAACACACGTTCATAAAGGAGATGTCTACACTGTAAGCACATATCTAACACATTACAACAGTTTACTGCACTTACGTCCTCATATTTGTTCACTCCTTATGTCCGACAGGCGTGCATGTACTGTGTTGACCTGAATATAGGATGACACCTCTTTTCCAACATCTTTGAGAAAAAGACTTTTTGAGGATGGGAAACACTTTAACACTCATCTTCTTAGGAAAGTTAAAGATCTTTGACATTGAACGTGTTACACTCGTCATGAATTTACATTTACGTTCTCGTTACACGAGCCTTCAGAAACTCCTGCAGGTCAAACTGGAATGACCAAACACTTTTAGTTTCTTCCTCCAGTCGTGGCGGCAGCAGTATTTCCGTTCAAGGTTTTCGTCTTAAACAGTGGTTGTTGAAGTGAAGCAGAGAGGACAGCAGCTCTCTACTCCTCATCAGCAGTAAATATTTCATCCACTTCCTTTTTTTTTTTTTTTACAAAATGTAGCTCAAAGCACTCAAGTGAAACCCAGAAAGCCACGAGTGAGTGAGAGTGAGATTATTTTCTGTGAGTAGCTCAGATGGAAAGCATGTCACTTTACTTCCTCTACTCCCTTTCTTTCATTTCCTTTTGCTTCCTCTCTTTCCAGGTCACTACACTTCTGTCAGTAGACATCAATTTCCTGCAGTAGCAAGTTTCTACTGATAGGGGGCGACACCCCTCAAACAATCTGTTTTTTATGCTTCATTAATGTGATATTTCAGTTTGCTTGATGACATTAAAACAAACACCAAATTATGTTTGGGTGTTAACTTCAAATTAAATGTTACATCATCTTTGTATGCACCTAACTCTTCTTTTTCATCCCTCTCTCGCTCTCTTATGTCGTCATATTTTGAGGCCCCAGTGGGAAAACATGTCCTACTTAGAAAACAAGTTCAGCATATTAACTTTTAGTTCACCCCTCTCTCCATGTTCTCCTCTGTTTTACCCCTCTTGCACTTTACCTTTCTCCCCCTTACTCACGCATTTGCTGACCTTCTTCATCTCACTTTCCGTCCGTTATCCCTCCATCTGTGGCCTCTTCATCCATCTCCACCCCTCTTTCATAACTGCTCCTCCTCCTCCTCCTGTAGTGGAGTCATGTTGTTGATGGAGCACCGGATTGCTTCTCTGAATTATTCAGACACATTAAAGTCACGCTCATGTTAACAACAGTCTCTCCGCCATGTTTTATTCAGCCTGAATTTCAGATACACTGAGAAAACACACACACACACACACACACACACACACACACACACACACACACACACACACACACTGTAGTAATGTGTTGTTTCTATGAGAACCAAAAGTTTTCAGGCATATTGGCTAAAGATTTGAGTGCTCTGCCTGAAAAAAGTAAATTAGATGCTAATAACTGATGAAACATTAGCCACTGACATTAATATCGCCCACAGTCTCAAACCAAAGAGGAAGTAAAGGTGAATTAAATCAGGTAGCACCAACTCGCCTCTGTCTTCTTACATAGCTGTTACTTACATTTATAGCTGATACCTCCTGAACCCCACCGTTATTGTATAATTATGAGTTCTGATCTTGTAAATGTGAGAAGGTTTTCCTGTAATTATGAAATAGTAAGTCATAATTATGAGATATATATGTATATATGTGTGGTACTGTCAAGAAAACTTCAGATACTACTCAGGTAAAACACTGAAACAAGAGCAGCTAAAGGGAATACAGCCATTAGTATTTTTTATTATTTCCACCATTGCTCTGACAAAGTGTCAGAGTGAAGTCAGTCAGTCGTAAGAGGAGTTTATAGACTGTGCAGTGTTGCTGGCTGGTCTGTAGAGGGAGCTCTCGGATCACAGTGAACAGTATTGTATATTCTCAGGCTGCAACGTAACACTTAACATGTTGCATTGCATCATTGCTTAAAAGGTTGGGCTAATTTTAACTGCTTTATACTGCTGAATAGCTTTGTGTCTATAAAATTACATAATAATTCACTGGTTGATTATCTTTTATATTAACAGTGTGAATCTGTAAAGTAAGTAGTAACTAGTGGTGGAAAGTAACTAAGTATATTTATTTATTGTATTGTGCTTTAAGTACAAGTTTGATGTACATGTACTGTAACTTGATATTTCCATTTCACTTCTAGTCGACTACTTTGATCTGACAGATGTGTTTACTCGTTACTTTTCACATTAAGATTTAAAGATAAATATCAAAAATACAATCAGTCTATAAACTATGATGCCCTATTAAGGACTGAAGTATCAAACTGTATAAGAAAAAAACAACTTAACTACACCATCTAGTACCAGTTTTGTATGAATATATTAATAACAGTGATCCAATAATATAATAATGACAGGGATGATTTTGCATTATGATTACTTTTGATACTTTGATACTATTTTTCTAATGCTTCTCTATATTTTTACTTAAGTAACATTTTTACTCTTTTGTTTACAGTGTGTTATTACTTTGTTTTAAGTAAATCTGTCAGATAGATAGTATAATGAAAATTACAATATTTCCTTTAACTGTAAAGTAGCAGAAAGTAAACTCAAGTAAAGTACAAGTACCTCGAAATTATACTTAAGGACAGTACTTGAGTAAATATACTCACTTACTTTCAAGCAGGATACTTTCCCTCATAACTTTTACTAGAGTTTGTTATAGTTGCTCCTAAAACATTTGAATAAATAAATGTCAAACATTCAGGAGTCAGGAGGGAGAGAGAGGCAGAAATAAAGACAGAGAGACTCAACGTACCTTCATTGTGACCTGGCTTGGCGCCAAAAACAGGCACGCCCCCTCGCTCTCTGCCGTATTCGCTGACGTCAAGAGCTTGTCGGATTCTGATTGGACGGCTGCGGCTCAGTTTAAATGCCCTCGAGCAGAGCCCCCAGGACTCAACATCCACAGCGCGTGGGCGACTGTCGGCTCGAGGCAGCTGCTGCAACTCTGGACACCTGTTGCTACGGAAACAGCAAAGGCGGGAAAATTACCAACAAAAGGTACGTTTTTGCAACCGCCATTTTAAGTTAGTATGTTAACAGTGATTCTTATTGAAATGAAAGTGAAAGTGACGTTATCAGAGTAATTTTCTGTCTTTTCTATAGTTTTAGTGGCGTCTTTGCTCTCCTGGCTGTGCAGGTGCAGATACAGTAGCTTTCTTTAATTTTTTGTTGTCAGACTTTTCTCATTTTTACTTTGCATTTTTTGTTCTGGGTGTCATCTCTTGTAGTTGTGGTTTCACCTCAGTTAGAAATATGTTTGACTGAGCAACATTTTATTTTAAAATCTTCCAGAAAGAGCTAATCTATACATCTCACATCTGCAAAACTGCCATATAAACCCATTAATATTACAGAAAAAGCACCTTTCTTTAAAGGATTGTGGCCTTAATGTGAGACAATGATGGCAATTATGTTTTTTTTTATGTTTTCAGACTTTTGTTATATTATTGTTAAGCAGTTTTTTGGTCTGAAAGAACTCTGTGGTTGTGGTTTAATTCTAGCTAATGGTACCATATACTGTAAATGCACATGTGATTTAGCAGCATTTTTTATTTTAAATTCTGTTCCCAGGCCAGTCAAAAACCAAAAAAAAGAAAGGTGGATGGTTTGTTGAAATCCTGAACTTCCACCATGGTTGTGTCAATGTGTTCAGTCTCTTGATGCATTCAAGTGTGCACCCAAATACGCATGTGCATTGTTATGTTTTGTCAACAACAAGGGGTCACGTGTCTGAGTCCACATTGTTCTGGAGTTCATATAAAGGTCCTACGCACTGATTGCATGAAGTTAAACCTCACCTGTGTATGTCTCTTGGCTGGTTCAGGTATGTATACCTGCAGCTGGCTGGTGAGGCAGTCAGTGAGGTTATAGTATTGATTGCAAACTTTAACCTACTCACCTTTATTTAATTTGGCAAACCACTTGGAAATTGGAAACTGTTTTTTACACTGATGGTGTGGTAAAAGGTAAAGAGTGCGTCACAGAGAAGTGGGGGAAAGGTGACTGTTCAGAGTTATAGATAATACAACTTATTTATGTTTGTAATCCTTTAACAGCTCTGACACCCAAATCTCTCAAAAACACAAACATTTGTTTTAAAGTTTTGTGTCAGGCTTTTTTTTGGTTTAAAAACATGCCTCTTTGGAGCAGAATTTAAAATCTTCAAACTAAGTTAGACTTGGTATTTTTAGAGCGCAGCCTGGTGTATCTGTACTCCTTGTAATAGAGAGGACATGACGCTTCTAAAACAGCAGGAGCTAGAGATAGAGTGCTATTTATGGACTGCATACGCATAATACAGAGAAAAGGAAGGTATGAGGTTTGAATGAGGAAGATAATCCTCGTTAATGTCAACCAGCTTGAAAGATTAAACCTCAGATTGTTGCCAACAGTTTCACTCTCTCTCTCTCTCCTGTATCTCCGCCTCTTTCTCTCTGCAAACCTCGCCCAAATATTTGAAAAACATTTAAATAAAGTTTGTTGCATCCCCTCGTTAAATGCATTTTGTTCTTTCTCTTTAATTACAGAAATCCGCTGCCCGGCCAGCTGTGTCCTCCTCTTTTTAAACTCCACACAGCTGTTAAAGACAGTCAGCCATGTCGTCTACAGTGCTGCTGAATCTGCTGCGTTGTGGTCGCTCCGCCGTCACCAGACAAACCTTCCTCGCCGTACGATCCTCATCAGAAACCTCCACAGCTCCTGGACAGGTAAATCTATATTTTTTTTTTTGTAAAATTCCTTTTTATCCTAAATTATTATACTGTATTATTTCCCACATCCCAGGGTGACCTCAGATGTTTTGTGCAACCAACAGTCGTGTGACAAAGACAAACATATAATGTTCACATTTAAAAAGATAAAACCAGCAAATGTTAAAAAAAAAAGATGAGTTTTCATTTATCAAAGTAGCAGCTCCAACCAGACGACACTTTAATTTCAACTAGTTTAAGGAAGTTCTTCAGATTTTAGCATTAACCTAGCTTTGTTATTTCCAGGTGGGCGGGGCTTTGTTGGGCGTGGTGGGCGTGCGGCAGGCCAGTGGGTCGATCCGCTTCGACAGTGACGGCAGCGGCCGCCCGGTGACCTGGGACTCCTTTGGAATCTGGGACAACAGGATAGAAGAACCAATACTGCTGCCCTCCAGTATCAGATACGGAAAACCAATTCCACAGGTAACTGAGAGGAGGGGGAGGGGGAGGGGGGGGGGTTGAACGTATGAAAGACGTCGCTAATCAGTTGTTTTAATCTGTCAGGTCAGTCTGTCTCGGGTCGGCAGTGCATCTGTTTTGGGTCTCAGGAAGCAGAATGAGGACCGTCTCCGTTTCGCCCGTATCAATGACAACCTGTTGTACTTCGCCGTGTTCGACGGCCACGGCGGCCCGCACGCCGCCGACTACTGCTACACCTTCATGGAGAAATTTATCAGGTCGACTTTTATCACTTGTGTTTGTCAAATAATTTCATCACTAAATGTTTGTGACGCAACATTAAAACTGTTGCTGAACATTTTTCTCCAGAGACGCTTTGGTGGAGGAAGAGGACGACCTGGAGAAAGTTTTAAAGAAAGCCTTTTTAGACGCTGACAAAGCTCTGCACACACACCTGAGCTACTTCAACAACGGTGAGTAAGTAAAGTTCAGTCAGTCGTAAGAGGAGTTTATAGACTGTGCAGTGTTGCTGGCTGGTCTGTAGAGGGAGCTCTCGGATCACAGTGAACAGTATTGTATATTCTCAGGCTGCAACGTAACACTTAACATGTTGCATTGCATCATTGCTTAAAAGGTTGGGCTAATTTTAACTGCTTTATACTGCTGAATAGCTTTGTGTCTATAAAATTACATAATAATTCACTGGTTGATTATCTTTTATATTAACAGTGTGAATCTGTAAAGTAAGTAGTAACTAGTGGTGGAAAGTAACTAAGTATATTTATTTATTGTATTGTGCTTTAAGTACAAGTTTGATGTACATGTACTGTAACTTGATATTTCCATTTCACTTCTACTCGACTACTTTGATCTGACAGATGTGTTTACTCGTTACTTTTCACATTAAGATTTAAAGATAAATATCAAAAATACAATCAGTCTATAAACTATGATGCCCTATTAAGGACTGAAGTATCAAACTGTATAAGAAAAAAACAACTTAACTACACCATCTAGTACCAGTTTTGTATGAATATATTAATAACAGTGATCCAATAATATAATAATGACAGGGATGATTTTGCATTATGATTACTTTTGATACTTTGATACTATTTTTCTAATGCTTCTCTATATTTTTACTTAAGTAACATTTTTACTCTTTTGTTTACAGTGTGTTATTACTTTGTTTTAAGTAAATCTGTCAGATAGATAGTATAATGAAAATTACAATATTTCCTTTAACTGTAAAGTAGCAGAAAGTAAACTCAAGTAAAGTACAAGTACCTCGAAATTATACTTAAGGACAGTACTTGAGTAAATATACTCACTTACTTTCAAGCAGGATACTTTCCCTCATAACTTTTACTAGAGTTTGTTATAGTTGCTCCTAAAACATTTGAATAAATAAATGTCAAACATTCAGGAGTCAGGAGGGAGAGAGAGGCAGAAATAAAGACAGAGAGACTCAACGTACCTTCATTGTGACCTGGCTTGGCGCCAAAAACAGGCACGCCCCCTCGCTCTCTGCCGTATTCGCTGACGTCAAGAGCTTGTCGGATTCTGATTGGACGGCTGCGGCTCAGTTTAAATGCCCTCGAGCAGAGCCCCCAGGACTCAACATCCACAGCGCGTGGGCGACTGTCGGCTCGAGGCAGCTGCTGCAACTCTGGACACCTGTTGCTACGGAAACAGCAAAGGCGGGAAAATTACCAACAAAAGGTACGTTTTTGCAACCGCCATTTTAAGTTAGTATGTTAACAGTGATTCTTATTGAAATGAAAGTGAAAGTGACGTTATCAGAGTAATTTTCTGTCTTTTCTATAGTTTTAGTGGCGTCTTTGCTCTCCTGGCTGTGCAGGTGCAGATACAGTAGCTTTCTTTAGTTTTTTGTTGTCAGACTTTTCTCATTTTTACTTTGCATTTTTTGTTCTGGGTGTCATCTCTTGTAGTTGTGGTTTCACCTCAGTTAGAAATATGTTTGACTGAGCAACATTTTATTTTAAAATCTTCCAGAAAGAGCTAATCTATACATCTCACATCTGCAAAACTGCCATATAAACCCATTAATATTACAGAAAAAGCACCTTTCTTTAAAGGATTGTGGCCTTAATGTGAGACAATGATGGCAATTATGTTTTTTTTTATGTTTTCAGACTTTTGTTATATTATTGTTAAGCAGTTTTTTGGTCTGAAAGAACTCTGTGGTTGTGGTTTAATTCTAGCTAATGGTACCATATACTGTAAATGCACATGTGATTTAGCAGCATTTTTTATTTTAAATTCTGTTCCCAGGCCAGTCAAAAACCAAAAAAAAAGAAAAGTGGATGGTTTGTTGAAATCCTGAACTTCCACCATGGTTGTGTCAATGTGTTCAGTCTCTTGATGCATTCAAGTGTGCACCCAAATACGCATGTGCATTGTTATGTTTTGTCAACAACAAGGGGTCACGTGTCTGAGTCCACATTGTTCTGGAGTTCATATAAAGGTCCTACGCACTGATTGCATGAAGTTAAACCTCACCTGTGTATGTCTCTTGGCTGGTTCAGGTATGTATACCTGCAGCTGGCTGGTGAGGCAGTCAGTGAGGTTATAGTATTGATTGCAAACTTTAACCTACTCACCTTTATTTAATTTGGCAAACCACTTGGAAATTGGAAACTGTTTTTTACACTGATGGTGTGGTAAAAGGTAAAGAGTGCGTCACAGAGAAGTGGGGGAAAGGTGACTGTTCAGAGTTATAGATAATACAACTTATTTATGTTTGTAATCCTTTAACAGCTCTGACACCCAAATCTCTCAAAAACACAAACATTTGTTTTAAAGTTTTGTGTCAGGCTTTTTTTTGGTTTAAAAACATGCCTCTTTGGAGCAGAATTTAAAATCTTCAAACTAAGTTAGACTTGGTATTTTTAGAGCGCAGCCTGGTGTATCTGTACTCCTTGTAATAGAGAGGACATGACGCTTCTAAAACAGCAGGAGCTAGAGATAGAGTGCTATTTATGGACTGCATACGCATAATACAGAGAAAAGGAAGGTATGAGGTTTGAATGAGGAAGATAATCCTCGTTAATGTCAACCAGCTTGAAAGATTAAACCTCAGATTGTTGCCAACAGTTTCACTCTCTCTCTCTCTCCTGTATCTCCGCCTCTTTCTCTCTGCAAACCTCGCCCAAATATTTGAAAAACATTTAAATAAAGTTTGTTGCATCCCCTCGTTAAATGCATTTTGTTCTTTCTCTTTAATTACAGAAATCCGCTGCCCGGCCAGCTGTGTCCTCCTCTTTTTAAACTCCACACAGCTGTTAAAGACAGTCAGCCATGTCGTCTACAGTGCTGCTGAATCTGCTGCGTTGTGGTCGCTCCGCCGTCACCAGACAAACCTTCCTCGCCGTACGATCCTCATCAGAAACCTCCACAGCTCCTGGACAGGTAAATCTATATTTTTTTTTTTGTAAAATTCCTTTTTATCCTAAATTATTATACTGTATTATTTCCCACATCCCAGGGTGACCTCAGATGTTTTGTGCAACCAACAGTCGTGTGACAAAGACAAACATATAATGTTCACATTTAAAAAGATAAAACCAGCAAATGTTAAAAAAAAAAGATGAGTTTTCATTTATCAAAGTAGCAGCTCCAACCAGACGACACTTTAATTTCAACTAGTTTAAGGAAGTTCTTCAGATTTTAGCATTAACCTAGCTTTGTTATTTCCAGGTGGGCGGGGCTTTGTTGGGCGTGGTGGGCGTGCGGCAGGCCAGTGGGTCGATCCGCTTCGACAGTGACGGCAGCGGCCGCCCGGTGACCTGGGACTCCTTTGGAATCTGGGACAACAGGATAGAAGAACCAATACTGCTGCCCTCCAGTATCAGATACGGAAAACCAATTCCACAGGTAACTGAGAGGAGGGGGAGGGGGAGGGGGGGGGGTTGAACGTATGAAAGACGTCGCTAATCAGTTGTTTTAATCTGTCAGGTCAGTCTGTCTCGGGTCGGCAGTGCATCTGTTTTGGGTCTCAGGAAGCAGAATGAGGACCGTCTCCGTTTCGCCCGTATCAATGACAACCTGTTGTACTTCGCCGTGTTCGACGGCCACGGCGGCCCGCACGCCGCCGACTACTGCTACACCTTCATGGAGAAATTTATCAGGTTGACATTTGTCTCTTGTGTTTGTCAAATAATTTCATCACTAAATGTTTGTGACGCGACATTAAAACTGTCGCTGAACATTTTTCTCCAGAGACGCTTTGGTGGAGGAAGAGGACGACCTGGAGAAAGTTTTAAAGAAAGCCTTTTTAGACGCTGACAAAGCTCTGCACACACACCTGAGCTACTTCAACAACGGTGAGTAAGTAAAGTAAGAAGTACTGAGTATTTAATACGACAAAGAAGAAGAGAAACACGTTCTTAAAATGTGAATAAAAAGGCAGAAACACTCTATAATCATCAGTTATCATCCCTCTCTTCCTCCTCAGCCTCCTTCCTGACGGCCGGCACCACGGCGACGGTTGCGTTGCTACGTGACGGCGTAGAGTTGGTGGTGGGCAGCGTCGGTGACAGCCGGGCGATGCTGTGCAGGAAGGGACAAGCCAACAAACTCACCACAGACCACACACCTGACCGCGAGGACGAGAGACGCCGGTACACACTCTCTCTCTTTGCTCACTTTTCATATCATTCAATTACCGTGACTTATATCATATACATCAAAAAACATGATAATATAAATAATCAGATGAATACAGACAAAATGTGTAATTGTGAAATAATTGAATATATTTTGAAAGTCACTGAACTTCCTGTTGCTGTGGCGTCAGTGTAAACGGAGAGGATTACATAATCAGTTCGTCTTCACTGACAAAGACTGACCTGCCATTTATTATAATATAAAGACATATAATGAACTTACTATTGTGAAAATAATCAGGATGATGTAACAAGCAAGTAGCTGATTAATTGAAATAGAAAATTAAAAGGCAACTCTTTTGACTCTTTGTAAAAGAAGAATAAGATTTAAAAGACTAAACAGATTAAAAGTCAAACATCAGGAAGTTAAACAGCAGTGCATTCATGCAAAATCCAACAAGGAAGACGAACAAAAAACAAACAAAAAAGGGAGTGTCGCTCTGTTCACGTGAGAATAATGTTTCTCCTTCTTCATCTTCCTTGTGGAGAATCATGGAGGCAGAGGTGGAAACTCGTAACGAGGCGTCTCATGTGATATTTTAATCATAAACTAAAATAAACAAGAGAGGAAGTTGTTGGGACTTGGTCAAAAACCACTCGGGGCGTGAAAGTAAATCTGGTGCACAGCGCTGCAGAAAGCCGGTGGAGCTGCAGGGTTCAGGTTTCCCTCCAGCAGCCGCTCAGGTCGCTGCGTATAAATAGACTCAGTATGTCGGACTGTGGCCGTCGGCCAAACTGCCTGCAGCTGGCAGCGAGTCAGTGCCTTGCTCAAGGACGCTCATTCATACGTCCCACAGGTTTGGGTTTCCCTTTATGTTATGTAACAGCAGGACGAGGCTATGTTTAACTCTGGACAACGAACTCATGTTAACACCTCGGTGTGTGACCTACAGCCACAGAGAGTCCGAGTCCTCAGCTGTCCTCAACTGAGGCTGAGAAGAAGGAAATGAGCTGCACCACTCCGACTCCGGACGATCACTAATCCTGTGTTTGTGTTCAGGATCCAGAAGTTCGGCGGCTTCGTGACGTGGAACAGCGTGGGTCAGGCGAACGTGAACGGGCGGCTCGCCATGACTCGCAGCATCGGAGACTTCCACCTGAAGAACAGCGGCGTCATCGCTGAGCCGGACACACAGCGGCTAAACGTGAGTTTCATCTGACCTTTGAACCTGAGGCCTGTAGGTGGCGCTGGAGGGAAGCCATGTTGTTGAGGTGGTTGTTTCACTGGACTTCAGCTGCTCCTCATCCAGGTCTTTTTGGGTTCTCCTGGTTCTCGGTTCCTTGACACTGAGCTGCATCAGACCACCTAACTCAGTGGTTCCCAACCTGTGGGTCGGGGCCCACTGGTGGACCGCGAAGTTATTGCAAGTGGGCCGATTAAAATCATTTGCAAAACATAAAAATTTTGGTGAAAAGATGTAATTATTCAAAAAATATATATAAATAATTAAATTTAAATATATAATTTAAAACAACCAGAGCTGTTGTGCTGTATAATAATATACAAGAGAAAACAGCTACAAAGTGAAAGGTTATTGATCTCTCCCTGTCAAACTGAGCTTCCCCTGTTTTCAGTTCTGTCCTGGATGTTCGATCTTTATCATTAAAATAAAAATCCTTTGAGAAAAACATTACTTGGCCTCCAGGTTGTAACGTGGTTTGATGAAGGCTGACTCCTCTGCTTGTCTCTGCAGATCCATCACGCCAGCGACTCCTTCCTCGCTCTGACCACAGACGGCATCAACTTCCTGCTGAGCGACCAGGAGATCTGCGACGCGATCAACCAGTGCCCCGACCCCACAGAGGCGGCGGACGTCATCGCCCAGCAGGTAGACGACGCAGACTCACGAATCCCTCTCGTTCTTTACCGGCTGCTCTGAAAGCGAGTCGCTGACATGATGCTGTGTGTGTTTTTGTTTTTTGTTTTTTAAAAAGGCGCTGCAGTACGGCTCGGAGGACAACTCCACCATCATCATCGTGCCCTTCGGAGCCTGGGGGAAACATCAGAGCTCCACCGCCGGCTACAGCATGAGCAGAAACTTCGCTTCAAGTGGGAGATGGGCGTAGACGACGCCAACAAACAACAAACAACATCACACAGTTTTTTTTTTTTCTTACTTGAACACAAACATTTTCCAAACTCACAATCATGCATAAACGTCCCTGACTCCACCTGACGAGGCCCCTCCCCCTCCGTAGTGCCGGCTTTCGTATGAACCCTCCTGTGTTAGCTTCCAGCTGACTAGTCATCCGTGTATATAGAGTGTATATTAATATATTGTACATACAGAGGGGTTTGCTGCAGTGTTTCTTCGTCGGTGTGTGTGCGTTGCATCATGTGCATGTAGACGAAACATTTTAACCTCCCTCATTTATTTTATTTTTTAAAACCGACGACTTTTACTATTTTACTTTAAGAAATTCAACTTAAATTAAAACGACTTGTGTAAAAAAATACTTTTTTTTCCTTTCAGATAAAAGTAAAATGTCATTTAAAATTTCCTCTGAGGGAACATTACTATGTTGTACGGTGATGAAATAAACAACTAAATTAAAGAACAATTAAAGAACCATGAAATAAAATGCATCATCGAGTCAGTACATATGTTTAGAACATGTATGATGGAGCACAAACACCTGAAGTTGAAGAGATTCCTCAGATGTGGTTATGATTTATTTTATTTGTTTCTAAAGCATCCTCAGACAGATTTGATGAGTAATAAATGAAATCCGTACACCGTCAGTTTCGGCTAAAGTTTCCGTCCGCCTTAGAGACGGGGTAAAGGGGGGCAACTCGGGAGTAGAGCCGCTGATCCTTGGTGTCTGAAGGAGCCAGTTGTGGTTCAGGCAGCTGGTTAGGACGCCTGCTCAGGACCTCAGGTCTCACCTGGCCTGGGAACGCCTCAGGATCCGCCAGGAGGAGCCGGAAAACCTCTGGACTACTTCTCTTGAGCTGCTGCCACGGCGACCAGACGTCAGATACGCAGCACAGTCAGACGTTTTGGTCAGGTGTCTCCTCTGAAAGACAATGTTTCATAAAAGACTTTATAAAGGTTAAAAAAGTAAAATGAGTACAGCACTAAATGTATCTAGAGCTCTATAATTGGATCGTCCCTGATGAAGCCGACTCACTGAATCCTGCACTGGTGCAGAGATGAATAAAGTCCGACATGTTCAACTGAAACTTCGCTTTGTTTCTGTTTTTAAAGGTTTTGTCTCCAGTTACAGCAGCTGGTTATTTTTCTGTCATTAGTCCAGCAGCCAGGACATCACACTCTGTTCTTAGGGACTTCAGTGCAGTTGAAGATGCAGCTCAGTTACACTGAAAAGATGAAACAGGTAGTTGATTAATCCATCAACAGAAAAACAATCAGCAACTGTTTTCAATTCCAAGCAAAAGGAGTCAGAGAATACCAAATATTAGTTTGTCATATATCATTGTAAACTGAATATTTGAATATGTTTTGGACTTTTCTTCAAACAAAACAAGACGTCACCTTCAGATGTGCAAAATATTTTTACAATATTTTTGATGTTTCATTGCCTCAGTGATTAATCAGAAAAATAATCGGTAGATAAAATGAAAATAATAATTATTTTTAGCTCTAACAACACACACACACACACACACACACACACACACACACACACACACACAATGAGCTGACAGTACTGTGCTATAAATTAAATGTACAGTGTGCATGTCCATGTGCAAACTATAAAATACTGTATGTTTTCACTGCACATGAAAAGTTTTGCATGAACTATTTGGATATATTAGCAAAGAACACGTACAGTTGCACAGTAGTGTTGTGGAAAGTAACTCCTGCTTGATTGACAGCTGATTTATCTCTCAGACGTCCAATAGCGTCACAGGAATTTCCCACCCTCCTGATGTGTGACGCGGCGTTGGTGGAGAGTGTTGGCGGGTAAATATAGAAACCATTGAGATTCCTCTAATTCCTTCACGTGACCACAAGGTGATGCTGAAGGTGCAACAAAAACATACACACACACACACACACACACACACACACATGCTGACACACAAACTCAAAAAATGTGTCAGTGACAGAAAATACCGGCTAACATGGTGACACATGACACATTGACACACACACTAGAACTTGACCCACAAAGCCTTGTGACCAACTGCGTGTGTGTCGACCTTCAGGAAGAAAAACTCAGTACCTGCGAGTGTGTGTGTGTGTGTGTGTATGTATGTGTGTGTGTGGGTGTATGTGTGGGTGTGTATGTGGGTGTGTGTTTTCCAACCAACAAGGTTGAACAAACACAGCCTGGACCACGTGCTTGTGTTATTTAAACACTGAGCTACTTGACTTACTAATCTCCTCGTTTAAATAAAAATGTTGACCTACATTGACGATACAATTAAAAACAAGTTTGTCTTTGAACTAAAATAAATGATTTTAAATGTTAATACTGTCAAACAATATATTTAAAGTTCAGAAATCAATAGATTTTGTGCTAAACACTGAGAAAAAAGACACTTGTATCACTGCTGTTGTTACCAGTAGATGGGGATAATTCGATGCATATTAAACATGCAGTAAATCAACATGATGTCGATCAAACATGCAAAATGCTTTTCACAAATAAAAGCACTCACAAAAAAACAAACATAAAACTATTGTAAAATGTTCAAATATAAAAACTGAACAGAAAGAATAGAAACAGATAATATAGAACAACTGCTGCTTCCAGCCTTTCTGACCTGTGACCCCTTAAAATAAACGACTTTAATCCCTCATCACAGTGAATATGTTACATTTTTATAAACTTTTAGATGAATGAAAAGGAAAAAATTAAAGATTTTAATGAAAAAATGAGTAAAAATTAGAGACAGAAAAAAATTTCAGTGACAGACTCCATGATTTGAATAAAAGTATAACTGTAACATTTAATTTTAACTTTTAAAAAGTTAATTAAATATCTCTTTAAAAATATAACATTTTACAGTTTAATAAAACTGATAAAACACCTCATGGTCATGTTGTTGTCATTGTCGTTGTTGTTGTTGTTGTTGTGATCTTCAGGCTGGAGCTGATTCACTTGTTGAGCCGACAGCGATGTGCAGTTCTGTGGTTCAACCAGCAGAGGGAGCTGCTGTAAAGCACAACAGGTGATGACGCAACCTTAAAACATCAAACCTGGTTCTATGTGTAACCCAAAAACCCTCTTTAACACTAAAACCTCTCATTGAACAAGAACGCGTCCCCAGAACGAACACAAGTCCCCACATCGTCAGTAAATTACCAGGTTTGGTTCGTCCACTCCACATGAACATCACATAACAAACCCACTGAGTTTATATTGGATCGAGATGGTGACTTAAACGTATATAAAGCTTCTGAAATTATTATAATTGTACATTCTGTACAAAACTCCAAAAGGGATAAAATATATTTAGATTTTGTTTGAATTTAGTGAAACAAAAGAGATATTTGTGATGAAATGTGGTATCATGTATTTGAATAAGATTGAAATTAGTTTAAAGACACTGGCTGATAACAGACCTCTCAGAATCATACAAGGGTTTAAGAAATACATTTATTCATTCACATGTACCTGATGCACATGTTGATGATGTTTGAGCTGAAGCAAAGAAAGATTTTACAGTGTTAATTATGTCATTGTGTGAAGATATGATCCAGAGGGAGGGGCTGTGACAGGGTGGTGTGATGCAATTTAAAATATTTTAAAGTTGCTGAAGAAGTGAAACTATCCAAGTGTATCACTATAAGTACTGTTTTATTATTATTTGTACTATTTCTATTCCACTATATTTCAGAGGGAAGGATTGTACTTTTCAGTCCCCTACATTAATCAAATATTTGTAGATACTGTTTTTTTTATTCAAAACATATTAAATATTTTACATTGTAATTGTGCAAATCAACTTATTTAAATGTTTTTTCCTTATTTTTATTTTAAAACTGTGTATAAGTCTATACAAAGTAAGGATGGTTTTATTGTACGTAGACATTCAAAGGGAAAACGATGCATGTCTTCATTAAACAAACAAAAACATCCAAAAGCAATTCCTCTTCTTCATCCAATCTGTTAAATTAAGTGAAACTCATAGTCCCACCTTGGTTATGAGAAATATAAAATACAGAAAATTTGAATATAAAACTTTTTTTTAATGCAGGTTGGTTTAAATCAATACAGTATTTTTACTGCATAAAGGTTTTAGGACTCAATTATTGACCGAAATTTAGCAGTTTATAAAGTATTTAAAATCAGCTCCACTTTGATGACCCACAACAAAAATGACGCCTAATGCAGTGATACTAATTTTGGAAACATATATAAAACTATGTGAGGAGACATTTTGCACAACAAGTAGTTGTTACTACACTAAGGAAGATTTTGAATGCAGGACTTACTTTACACTGAGGAACTGAAATACAGACTCAGATACTACTTCCAGCTCTCGAGGAGAGAGAGTGAATCACACACTGTCAGCTGCCCTTCTCCCTACTTCTCTTATCATGCTCTCACTCATAAAACTCGGCTTATAACACACACACTCAACAAACTGCTCCCTCACACACACATTGATCTCTGGAGTCAGTGTACACACACTCTCCTGGTCAGTGTCCTGGGTTTTGGATTTCGGTTTTCACAGGGATTTTTTTTGTGTCTACGGCAGGTAAGAGATAAACTCTGGTTTTTATCTTTAGTATTTGAGAACAGGGTTATCAGTATTTTTTATGAAAATTAACCCGAAGTGTGAACTGCTCCGGGTGAGATTTCTTTACATCAGGTTCAAGAGAGATTATAACGCTTCTTTGACTGAACAGTAGAACAGAAATATGAGGCAAATTTGAATGATGATTGGTGTAATTACAAACAGCAAAACACTCGACTGATGCTGGACATGGGACTTTTAGACAAATACAATATTTTCACTTAAAGCATGCAGGAATTTTAGACCTTTTGTTTTGATTGATTTTCAGCAGCTTCGTAGCAGACTGATCCTCAGTTTGCACATCAGCAAAATAATTAGTAACCAGTCAGTCTTTTCTGAACCTGAACCCAGTGATTTTTGAATCCCCTTAAACTATAAACCAAACGTGTGTAATTTTTGTAAAGGTTTTGGAAAGGCATTAGCAAGGTAAATATACTGGTTTAATATTATAAAAAATCATATACATAGTTTTATTGTATGAGAAAAGGCTTTTAGTATGAGGACTAGCCAATATATTTGGGAAATTTAACACAATGGGGAGTGGAAACGTCCCCAATTCCAACAGAGCCACTAACGTTAGCTTAAACCCTGATATAGCATTCAGGACCGGCTAGCAGAGTGGCTGTGTCTTTTTGTAACATGTAGTCAACTCTTAATAAGGTCATTGGCTTTGGAAGTAAAGCTTGGTTACTATTGTACTTCATAAGCTAGCTAACTTGGTCTGCTAATGTTATCATCTTACGTTAAAGGTTTGCTAATGTTAGTATCTTGTTTGCTAATGTTAGTATCTCAGGTTAAAGGTTTGCTGACATTAGCGTCTTACTTTAAAGCAGACAAAAACACACTTTAATTTACTTTTTTAGCTTTAAAAGGACTTGCTTTCTATAAGAGGTGTTTAGTGTCTTGTTGTAACAATAAAATGTTTCATTAGCAGTAGCATTTTTGTGTTCAGGCGGAGTGAGGTAGAGGACATCGGAGACCTGAGAGACAATGGAGTCCCATTTCAATGGAGCCTCAAAACATCAGGTACCTTCCCGCCATCTCACTTTCTTGATGCTAATACCAGTAAGTTTAAAAATATGTCGGTGTATTTGAGGTTTTATTGTGAATTCATTGTTTTTCAGTCTGCAGGTTCGAGCAAACAGCGGCACGGCGCCACTGTCAGCTTCCACAATATTCACTACAAGGTGACACAGGGAGGAAACTGTCTTTGCAGGAAGAAGGCCACGACCAAAGACATCCTCATCGACCTCAAGTGAGTACACTGATGTGTCTAAAACTATGGCTCAAGGATCAAAATGTGTCACCAAACTCACTTTGTCGTTTGGTCCAAAAATTAAAATGCTACCATATTATTATTTAACATTAACTTGTGCAGTGATTAGAATAAAAATACGGGCAAACCAGAACAAAAAAGACCACATTTCTTATCCTATTATGCAAATTGGTGATTGTAGGACAGCAACTAATTAGTTTATTTTCATTAATTTTCATTATCAGTTTATCTGCTGATTATTTTTCTGATCAATACTTAAGTCTCAGAAATATAAAGAATTTATGATATATGCCTATCAAAATTCCCAGACCAATGTGATGTCCTCAAATTGCCAAAAGTTCTTTTGACCAATATTGACCAAATTCACTGATATTGGTGATTACTTTAGTCATTTTAAATGGTTTGAAATCAGTTTCAAAGTCACCTTCTCTACACAACTAAAGAGAAAGATGTAAAAACCCATTTCAGCCTTCAGGTGACGGAAAGTTTGAGCCCCAAGTTCGGTAAACTGAGGCTGTGCAGTTTATAGTTATTGTGTTAGTTTGTGTACGTGCCGACAGGATTTCACCTGGGAGGCCAACGTGACACGATCAAGGCCTGGTTGGATCAAACACACACACATACACACACATGTCTGGAGGCAAAGGAAGGAAGTTTGCTTTGTCAGGAGACTTAGGTTCCCACTTTCCTTCTGTGACACACACATACATACAGAAGCTTGTCAGAAAACAATGACTCTCAGCTTAAATCAACAAACAGACACAGTGGCAGGATGCTGAACTGCCTCCATACCTTTCAAACGTGACTTAGTGAGAAAGTTCAGGGTATTAAATTCACAGAAATATGTCGGCTCTCAGTTTTCACGTAACCTGAAGAAATCCAGTTAAACTTTGGATTTTTGCCTCTGTAGTTCTGAGGAATCAGCCATGCTAGCAGCATGCTAGCAGCATGTTAGCAGCACAGCTCTACAGATGGAAATTTGGTCTGTCCATCACTTCAGACTGAAATATCTCAACAGCCATCGGATGCAAAGGCATGAAATTTTGTACGGACATTTGTTCCTCTTAGGATGACCTGTAATCATTTTGGTGATCCTCTGGCTTTTCATCTAGCGCCCCCACCAGGTCAGAATTTCAACTTGTCCAACACTTTGGTTTTCAACCGAGTACCTGCAAAACTAAGGACATACCCATCAGCGAATGTAAACATGCTAACATTTGAAATTAAGATGGTGAACATTGTAAACATTAAATCTGCTAAACATCAGCAGCTGGTGGTAGCATTTAGCTCACTGCTAGCATAGCCACTAGCATTGCTGATTCTTTGGTTTTATTTGTGCAAAAGTTTTGTTTTTTAGAGTGTAAACGTCTCTTATTGAGGCTTGTTCAGCTTGTATATCACAACCACAACCACATTTCTATTAGAACTCACCAAGAGGTCATATTGTTTAGTCCGTGTCTGAAACACCAATGTCTCTCCACAAACCTTGAAATTCTTTTGTTGCCCTCTGTTATGAAAACGTTCAAGGTCTTTGATTGTTTATGTTATGAAAAATGCAATTGGTCAAAGTGCGGTGCACATGTTAGCGTGCGTACAGTCCACAGCTGGTGGTATCACAGGTGTTTTATTGTTCTTCGCGTGTAATCATTGACCGGTCTGAGTCAAAGTTGAAGGTAGATTCAGTGTGAGCAGCTTGTTCAGTGTTTTATAGAAATGTTTACAGCTTCAGTTCATCTGTTCACGTGTGAACGATGTCTGCCGACTTCTCCTTACATAACGGACAAGTTCACAGTTTATCAACCCAGAGCTTATTTATATTATTACATCATTTATGATTGTGCACCGAAAGATTTCACCTTTAGTTTTAGTTTTGAGAAACGAAGCACTGCAGTTTCAAGTAAAGTCACATGTCACACATTCTTTTTAGGAAGATAGCGGTTAACATATTTGGAAGTAGGGAAAGAAACTGTGTGTCTCATACCTGACACTAGATTGAAAAGAGCTCCTGTTCATGTCTTATCATTAGAGGGAAAGAAGTTAAACATTTGGTTTGTACATGTAAGTTAAATATGAAGAGGTGGGTGAATGCAGCTCTGGCTTCTCCTCATTTTCTCCTGCCTTTTCTCTCATTGAGCTGTTAGGAAGACTTGGGCTTTTTGACCTTTATCTTTCTCTGTCGGCTTCGTGCACAACGCAGAGTTTAGAGATCTGTGTTGATTTTCTCTCAGTGAAACATTGCTAAGCCTCACCAAGTTGGTTTGGTTTACAGATCTGATATAAAGCCAGATTTAATGTCACCACACATCAAGGAGAGTGAAGCTCCAATATGCTTCTGCTAGTAGAAAGAGAACAGAAAATAAAACCCAAAGTAACAAATGAAAATGCAGCATCATGGTTTCAATGTGTCATGTGTTATGAGATTTTCTGACAAATGACCTGACGGACGTTTGACAGGGGGAAGTCGTGTCACTGTGTTCATCACAATCAGCAAAAAGGCAAAAGGTTTCTCAACAGTTGGATCAAAAACTGAACTGGTCAGAAACATCCTCACTTCTCTGCCACCAGAAATATCAGTATTATGATTATTATTTACTTAGTTTGTTGAAAAAGAACTTAAAGGAGCTAATTGTAACTTTCGCTAGTGCTACATAGCCAACGTTAGCATTAACAGCAGTTTACTTATCAGTCTTGGCAAGAGCTTCAGCCATCTTGTGTTTGCAAGACAGGAGGTTATAAAACGTCCTTCAAGCAGCGCTACCTCTTCAGAGCTGACTGGACGCTATAGTGACTCGGTATCGGAAAGTGACAAGATGGTCTGGCCGTGTCGGTGCTAGCTGGTTAGCATGCAAAGTTCAGTAGAAGAAAGGAAGTGATAGAAAACAAAACAAAACTTACAAATAGAGAATTTAAGATATATATGAGGTAAATTAAAATAAATATATGAAGGAAAGGTGGATAGAAAGACAGAAAGAACCATTATCTGTGAGGCAGAATAAAACTGCAGCATCATGGTTGCAGTGTTGAAACAGAACAGTGTCATGTGTGAAATTAGCTGAATAACGACCTGATGCATTGGACAAGGGGAAGTGTTCTCTCAGCACAACCACCGAAACATGAATCGAACTATTGCAAAACAGCTTCACCAAAACCAAACAGTGAATATATTCTCAGCCCGCAGGGGAAAAAAAGCCATAAAAACATCCTAGTTCCTTAAAAATATGACAACATGGCACAAGTGATCAAAAAGTTCACCAACATTCACCTTGAAGACACAGAACTGAAAGTGCTGCATCATTTTAAAACATTACAATAGAGATGAACACAGAAAATTACAGAGACAGTCAGCAATATGAGCAATGTGTGGGCTGTTAGCTTAGCACAAAGACTGGAAACGGGGGGAAACTGCTAGCCTGGCTCTGTCCAGGACAGCACTTCTATAGCTCATGAACTAACATATATTTTGTTTGTTTGTTTATAAGTACAATATTATTTATAATAAATTTTCTCTCTCTCAGTGGGATCATGAAGCCGGGGCTGAACGCCATCATGGGAGCGACAGGAAGCGGCAAGTCATCGTGAGTGTTTGCTCATACTCTTCCCAACCCAGTTTAGATGAGACACTGCCCATGTCAGTATGAGGTTAGGGATGAGGCTTCGTCAAGGCGTTTGTCAGACGGAAGTGGGCGTGGTTTCATCTAAACTCGGCTGGAAAAACGAATTTCCAGAAAATTTGCAAAAGGAAAATGTGAATTAATGTGTTTCCATCCACTCTGTGAATATTAGTTCATAAGAGATAAACAGGTGGGGAAGCTTCAGGTGAAGAAGAAGAAGACACAACAGAATAAACACAATTAAACAATATTTCTGTGCGTTTCATGTATTAATGTGAGGCGTTATCTTTTCACGTTTCATGTTCGCCGTGATTTTTACACTAAGTCTGTTTCCTCTTTGTCCCATTTTATTTCAACATCAACACACCACATTTTCCATCTCAGCCAGGCACAAAAACCTTTTTGCAATATATATATTTTTAAATTTTTCTCTCTGACTTTTTGTGTAAATTGAAAACATGCATAAGAACAGGTGGATGGAAACACTCTTCCTGCTGGTTTGCTGAATCAGATGATGTAAGAAAAATGGATGGTTGTTCTTGTCATGGACAACACTGTTGTGTAAATAAAGGTTTTATGTCATAGTGTCTCATTGAAGCTTCTTTATGAATGAGGTGAGCTGATGTGTAAATAAGAGTCGTTGATGGCAGCTGTTTGTGGTTCAGGTTCCTGGATGTTCTGGCAGCCAGGAAGGACCCGGCCGGTCTGTCAGGAGAAGTCCTGATCGACGGAGCTCCTCAGCCTCCGAACTTCAAGTGTCTGTCTGGATACGTGGTGCAGGTGGGTGAGACGGGCAGGAAGCCAGACCCACAGCAGCCAGCTTTGATTCAGGAGAGTTTCCTGGTCGAGGCAGGAAAAGTCTGCACACAACAATAGGACCAGCTTTTTAGGCCAAGAGTGTTTCAGTCGCACACAGGATACTTCAAACAGTTTAAGAAGGTCAAGGGTCACATCAATAATACCGATAATCGATCACAGATCAAATATGAAAAGATATCTTTGAAATAAAAGTGCATCCAGATGTCGATGGTTTCTTGTCTGCAGGACGACGTGGTGATGGGAACTCTGACGGTCAGAGAAAACTTCAGCTTCTCGGCGGCGCTGCGCCTCCCGTCCTCCGTCTCTCAGGAGGAGAAGGAGCAGAAAGTCAACAAACTGATCCAGGAGCTGGGACTGAGCCGAGTGGCCGACTCCAGGGTGAGGAGGGAGGCTAGGGGAGAGAGAAAGAAAGGAAGGGTGACAAAAATATACAGAAGAGAGTAAGAGAAAGAAAGAGTAAGGAAAGAAGAAGAAAAAGAAACTGAGACGAAAAAATAATCAATAAAATTAGACAAAAAAGAAATAAAATTACAAACAGATGGAAATAAAGAGAGGACCTAAAAAGAATGATGGAAAAGAGAGAGCAAAATAAAAGGGTCAAAAAAGAGGGAAGGAAGGAGGGAAGGAATCAAGGAAGAAGGAAAAGTAAAAACAAGAAAAAGAGATAGTAAGTAAAGGAGTGTGTGTGTGTGTATGTGTGTGTGTTCAGGTGGGCACCCAGCTGATTCGTGGGATCTCGGGCGGCGAGAGGAAGAGGACGAACATCGGCATGGAGCTGATCATCGACCCATCCGTCCTCTTCCTGGACGAACCCACCACGGGGCTCGACGCCAGCACCGCTAACTCTGTGCTGCTGCTGCTCAAGAGGTGTGAACACACACACACACACACACACACACACACACACACACACACACACACACACACACACACACACACACACACTAGGCTGAAGCCATATGGGGGCAGCAGAAACAAGCTGAGAACACAACACTGACATATTATCACCATATAATGTTGATTGGGTGAACTCGTTGCTAGGTAACGGTTAACCCTGTTTAAAGAAAGATATCGAGTTTAGCTGTTCTCTGTTTTTAGGTTTGTGCAATCCAAACTGTTTGGTTACGATGAGGAAAAGACGGTGGTCAATGGAAACCAGCGGTGACCCATCCTTTACGTTAAGAGAATATTTATCATCTCTCTTCCTGTTTCCTCAGGATGGCGAACAATGGCCGCACCATCATCCTGTCCATCCACCAGCCTCGATACTCCATCTACCGCCTGTTCGACAGCCTCACCCTGCTGGTCACCGGCAAACAGGTCACTCATGCGTTCTGTAGCGGCCATCTTTGGTCTTAATAATTCTTCATCTAAACTTCGGACTTTAATTGTTAACCACATTGTATGAACGACCTGAGACTGTTTTACACGTTGAGTTGGTTCGTTACGGTGCGGCCTCTCACCTGTCGTTATTCTACGTTTCATTAATGTCTTCATATGAACTCTTGTGCGTCAGGTTTACCACGGGCCGGCACAGAGCGCCCTGGAGTACTTCTCAGACATCGGTAGGAACACGTGGTTAACTTTAATCCGATATAACACAACGTGATGTGAAGTGAAAGGTAATGTTAATAATTCGCTTTGGAACTTCATTTCCCAGGATACACCTGTGAGCCCCACAACAACCCTGCTGACTTCTTCCTGGACGTCATCAACGGAGACTCGACCGCAGTCATCTACAGCAGCGTGGACAGAGAAGGTTTGTTGTTGTGACGGGAGAAGGATTCAGATCAACCCTCTAATAATTTCCACACAGTTTATTTATCTTTTATTTATTTGAGTTGAGTGGATTTTTTGCTGAAGGCCTCTTTCTTTGTCCAGATCCAGATTCAGACTCAGTGTCAATGTCCAGACGGGGGATCGAGGAGAAGCTGGTGGAGGAGTACAGAAGCTGTCAGTACTATAAACAGACCAAGGCAGAGCTGGGTGGGTACAAGAAGATCACAGGGTCGATCTCCTCATGAGTAATCAAGCGTCAGTCAACATGTTTTTAAGAGAATAAAAGATGATTTAGGGATTTGAAATACATATATTATTTTATAAATTCTTCTTGGATTATACGTGTCATCGTCAAGCAAATTGTCTCATAGCTAATTCCCACTCACGATATTGTCATTTATTTACTTTTCTTTCTTTTTTTTGTTATCAAATGTATCATGAATTAGACGTGAATTTTTTGCTATTTCTTGCATTCTGTTTTGTATTTTTCATTTCCTGAATAATAATAATAATAATAATTATTATAATTTAACTAATATTTGTAGCTGAAGTTCACAAAAATGTGCAGAATTATGAACTTGCGGACATTATATATAAAAAAAGAGTTGATAAGCATTACACCTGAAGTAGCTCTGTCACTGTCTCTCTCTCAGAAAGGATAATTCAGGGCAAGCCGACGACCATCACTGCTGCCTCCAGAACCATCACTTACAACACCAGCTTCCTGACCCAGTTCAGATGGGTTCTCAAGAGAACGTTCCGCAACCTCATGCTCAACCCACAGACCTCGGTCGCCCAGGTAAGAACACAACAAGTGAATTGATTGTCAATTGAAATGTCCAACAACACACACCTGAGGTAACACTGCTGAGTGCTCATAGTGGCCACTATAGGAACTGCAGCCTCAGATACTTGAGGCTTCAGCACTCAGTCATAATTGCTTCAGATCTAAACACATTCACTGTAGTATTATAGTATTAATCACTGTGTTTTCACTCTCTTCAGGTAGCTGTAACCTTGTTCCTCGCTCTGGTCGTAGGAGCCATTTTCTTTGATGTCCAGGAGAATCAGAGTGGGATGCAGAACAGGTATTCTACTCTTCTCTACTTGTCATCATGTATAACATGTTACAATGTGTATAGTGCGCCGGATCAGATTGTGTATTGATCAGATTGATAATGTGTTTCCAGGTTCGGTGCTCTCTTCTTCATCACAGTGAATCAGTGTTTCAGCTCTCTGTCGTCGGCTGAACTCTTCATCTCCGAGAGGAAACTCTTCATGTGGGTCTGACACACAAACACACAAACTGACACACAAACACACACTCATGAGGACGCAGTATTGTATGAAGAATTTCAAGTCATCCAATAACCTCTAAAACCAAATAAGTAAATAAATAAATATTATTATGGTCTGTCTTTCTGAGAGTGACATTAGAGAACATCCGTTCGTTCAGTCACATTGTGTGGACTCACTTCCCATCTGGGGACAAAACTGATGTCCCCACAAGGTTAAATTGGTTTATTTTAAGGTTAAAGGAATAGTTCATATTCGAGAATGCAGATATCCACTTAACGTCTGAGAATCCAGATGTGGTTAGCTTAGCTTAGCATAAAGCTCCATCCAAAGTCCAGAAATAACACCTCTAAAGATTACTTACTTAAGTGATGTATCTCATTTATTGAATTTGCACATGAACAGAAATGTTTCCTTGTTTCTCAGTCTGTATGCTAAGCTAGGCTAACCATACCCTGAAGTGAAGAGTTAAGTCAGTCCCCTGATGGGAAGTGAGTCCCCACAATGTGATTGAGTAAACATAAATATATAGTTGTTTATCTTCAACCTGTCCTGGTTTAAAAGACCTGTCAGAGATTGGATCAGGTGTATTGATAAAACTTTTTCTCTCCTTCTCTACAGTCATGAGTACATCAGTGGTTACTACAGACTGTCCGTCTACTTCCTGTCTAAGATCCTGTCTGACATCATCACACTGAGGACCATCCCCGCCATTGTCTTCAGCTGCGTGGCGTACTTCATGATCGGTGAACATGATTTCACTTTTGTTGCTATAAAAATCTGAAGAGCTTCCTGCTGCTGTCATGTCTTTATTATTGTTTAAGACCAGGCTTTTATTTTGTTAAATTGGAGTTTATATTTCAAAGTTAGTTAGCTGTTAACTGTAGCCTTATACTTTAGGTAACTTTACAGTTTAGATTTATATTTAGATTGATTATAACCTTGGTCCTGTGATGTGTGTGTGTGCAGGCCTGAAGCCCACAGCCGAGGCCTTCTTCCTCTTCATGTTCACGGTCATGCTGGTTGCCTACACGGCCACCGCCATGGCTCTGGCAATCTCAGCTGACCAGACGGTGGTGGCCATCGCCAACATCTTCATGACCATCGCCTGTGTGTTCATGATGGTGATGTACACACACAGCAGCACTAACACTTACACATATTCGCTAAAGCCTGCGCCCCCCCCCCCTCCTTAGCAACTGTTGCTACACCTGTCAAACATTCCATTCTAGAACTGCACGTTTGTTGTCGAAACAATGTATCGATTTGTGAGGACAGCAGGGTGTCTACCTCTGTACCTGGCCTGAGAAGTAACACTGTGTTAGCTAGTTACTCTGCTATGCTAACGTTTGCTACTTACATTGGACACCAATTTAATTTTCTTTCTTCTTTCCGTAACAAATCAAGTACTCCCAATCTGACCAATCACAGACCTAAAAGCACTCTGATTTCCAAAACCACTGTGAGTGAGAACATTTCATTAAACATGAAAACTCCAACTCCCATTATAATTATTAACATAACTATTTACATTATATTGCAAAATATGTGTTATAAAGCGCTTCACAAGGCAAAAAATAAGATGATTGAACACTATTTAAACTGAGCAGCATTTTCTATGTGAAAATAAACCACATTATTATTATGATTGTTAAATGTATTTTATTTTTATTAATGCAATGTTTGTTTTATGAGAGAAAAATGTTATTTTGATATAAATAGCACAAGTGAAGACAGTTTCAGTTTAAAATGAAGATAACACTTGTAAAAACGCACATATACAAAGCCATAAAAACATCTCATATTCATATTTGTTGCACTGAATAAATAAATACCTCTAACGTCTTATGTGTAAACCTTTTTCTCTCCTGCTTTTTCTGCAGATCTTTGCAGGTTTGTTGGTGAATCTTCCCTCCATCGTCAGCTGGCTCTCTTGGTTGAAATACCTCAGCATACCAAGATATGGGCTCAGTGTATGTACACACACCTACTACCAAATCTGCCTTCAGTTTCCTTTCTTCAGTATTGTTGAATTAAAAATAATTTGTTCTCTGCAGTGAGTTTATATTGTTACATGTTTAGTTCTCCTACTGGAAGTGCTGTAGTTTAACTTTTTATGTAGATTTTGAAGCAGAGTTTCTTGATTTCTAAGAATTGAAAAACATATTTCTGATGTTTGACTGGATGATGTTGATGTTCCTTTGTGTCTCTCCAGGCTTTGCAGATTAATGAGTTTTCTGGGCTGAACTTCTGTCACGGGTTAAATGCCAGCATCATTCCACCTGGACTCGCGTAAGAAACACATACACAATCAAGTTTAGACATTAACGACTAATTCTAATTTGATGTAATTGATTTGAAATTATCACTGAGGCCGTGGTAGTAGTAGTGGTAGGTTGTGCCACAGTGACGGCTCCACCTGCTAGACAGCATGACACATTACACCCCAGCAGATTCCTGTTTCTAGTCAGTTTAGTCAGTGACTCAATCAGTTACTTCACATGATTAATTAGAGTTTAGTTGGGTTTGAGCATTAAATTAGTTAACTAGCTAAATTATTAGCTTGAAGTTTAGCTGTTTGTTATCTAGTTAGTTAAAATGTGAGCCTGTTTCTTAGTTAGTTAGTTTGTTAGTTGCTTCAGTTATCATAATTGTAAAGTAATTAGTTGGTTGAATTAAAAGTGGACCTGTCAGTATTTTACTTATTTACTTATTTAAGGTGTGAGTTGGTCTGTTTGATAGTTAGATAAAGGTGAGCAGGTTAGTTAATTGTTTAATTAGGTTAGTTGCCTAAAAAAGTGAACCAGCCAGTAGGACGTTAATAAGTGTATGAGTTGCTCAGTTTGCTAATTAAATGGTTAGTTACTTGAATTAAAAATTTAAAAAATGGTTGCCACTCAGATAGTTACGTGCTGTAATGGGTAAGTTACTCAGTCAGTGATCTGGTTATTTGGTTAATGGGGAACCTTTGTGCTGTGCCTGCAGTTGCACAGGGGAGGAGTTTCTGACGGAGCAGGGAGTGGATTACTCCACCTGGGGCTTTTGGCAGAACCACATGGCCCTGGGCATCATGACCATCTGCTTCCTCATCATCACTTACCTCAAACTGCGCTTCATCAGGAAGTTCACCTAGACCTTCACCATCATAACAGTCACCATGGTGATGTAATCTACGATGCGGTTTAAACCTATGTGCAGCTGGAGGCGCTGTAGTTGTGGTTGTACATCTTTTTTTTTTTTTTTTTACAGATATGACTTTAATTTTTTTTACTATGTTCATTTGTTAATTTTCATTCAATTTCATAAAGTTGATTCATGTGATAAAATAAGAAGCAGAGATCTCTCAGATCGACTGATCATTTGTTTGTAAAATAAATGCTCATGTTTATAGAGAAGTTATTAATATGTAATTTATTCACTCCTCACTAACACTGTAGCACTGTAATGCGTTAACTCATTGAATTGTATCCTGATTTTTGCACTGTACATTTTACAGAAGTAATTTTTTTCATTTTCACATAAATACAAAAATTTTATATTTATGAATTTTTACAAAATAAAATACTGGATTTTTATTCTGAATTTCAGCTCTGTTAATTTTTAAAGTTCAGACAGTTTTATAAACTTAATTTCTCCTGCTCACATTTGTGACATCCAAATTTAAAATTCTTACATTTGTTTCTATCGAGCTTGAAAGTTGATTCTTCACCCTGGGAATAGTAATTAGGAGCTTTCAGCCACATCCCAGAGTCTTCATCAGCAGAGGGAGTTTACCATTCACCAGTTATCATGAGACTGAAGCACCATGTTTAGATTAGGTTATGACAACTGGGCAAACTTCATCCACTGATGAAGACCATGATGTGTAGTTGAAAGTATGAATGCTATTAGTGATTATTTTCATTATATTAATTTCTTGATTAATTGTCTCGTCTATAAACAAAGGTTTTTTAAAGAAAAAATTAAAAAGAATTCTCTACATACTGAAAAATTATATAACTATCCTGCATACCTACATACTTTGAGAAAACTCAGATAATATATATATCAATACGTGCAGCTCAATCGGGAATGGTGTACTATGACTTTTCTTAGGGTTTTGAGTAACCATGGTAACATAAATGGCAAGAATTCCCATTGAGAATGAATTGGTAAACGTCTTCAAAACGACCAAACCCATCCCTCTTTGGAGCTGTACTACTGCGTCATATTTCAATGTAAAAAAATGGTTGAAACCTTAAACGGGTCACAAGACTTGAGACTCTTTTGGGTTTAATCGGTATTTTGACAACTATTACGGTTTTCACAAAATCGCAGTTTACATTTTGCGTCATTTTTAGACTGTTTCAGATTTTATAATATGTGCACTCTAACTGCCATCCCTGAAAGTTTTCCTCAAAAAGAAATCTCACAAAATCTTTTAAATCTCACAATTTCCAACCTTCAGTGACAATTTTTATACCAAAAATGTAGAGATTTTTGTCCTCTATCACCTAGTTTTCATCTCATTCTGATACCTTTTATGGTTTTTGAGGAAATCCCCCCCAAAGTGCAGAGAGGGCGGTCCAAAGCTCCCGTAGACGCCCATGTTAAACTGAGCTCTGAGGCTGTTGCCTTCAACAGAGTTGAGGGGAGTTTAAAAACTGCGATAAAACCTCAACCATAAACTGTAGGTACATAAAAGATATTAATCTCTTTATTTGCTTGTTAATTGTATATTAATCAGTTACTTGATTAATTGTTGCATCGCCAGTATAGGTGGACTCTAAGTCAAAGCTCTTTTACCAAACATGACTTTATGTTTACAACACAATAATGTGGTCAGCAGATATAACTGTTTATATATAACTGGAGGCTTCTGTATAAACAGATAATGAAGGACAATACTTTAAAGTGCAGCTGTAATAATATAAAATATGTCGTATACTGCTCATTAATAAAAACCGATAATGCCTTTATATCTGCTCACATTACATCACTGTTACAAACAATCTGCCTTTTGTTTAGATAAGACAAGATAATGGGAGAGGATCATGAACACACACACACACACACATATACACACACTGACTGTACAGTAGGTGTGTGTATGTAAGCAGACACTTGCTCCCATAGCAACCAAGGCTATAAACAGTCACAATGTGTGTGTGTGTGTGTGTGATGTTAGGAAATCTCTGGTTCCTCTTGAGTAACACCAGTAAAGGCTGGAGGGACACAGGTAGAGAGGTAGACACACACCTTTGTGTTGGTGTGTGTGTGTGTAAATGTTTCCATAAACAGTTCAATGCGACCTTGAGCAAGGCACTGAAATATAAGAAGCAAAAAATGGAAATACTCAAGTAAAAATTGTTCTTAAGTTACTTCCCTCTGCTTTTCCAGGTACTGAAGTCCAGACTGGATCCTAGACAAACTAAACCGCAGCCTGGTGATGATTTCTCTTTGCATCATACTTTATGAATACGATGTGTTTTGAGAATAATCAAGGGAAGCTTAGTGGTTTGATGCTTCACTGATTTCCGCTGGAATAATATTACACAATCTGCTTATAAGGTTTGGAGAGACAGTAAGAAGGATTAAAATATGTAGCAGGGAAACTCCAGGTGTAACAGCTGATGTCAAGGTGAGATAAGCATTTAAAGCTGAGCCAGTTTCTTGATCATACAGTACATTAAAAGTTCCATTATGTATAAAATCTTTGTATATTGAACTAAACTGAGTATCTGGGTTTGAGCCATTGATTGGTCAAAGAAAAGACATTTAAAGATGTCACCTGAAACTTCAAGAAACTGTGAAGGACATTTTATGATCAAAACATCTCAATGATCGGCTCCATGTAATCAGCAAACTGCTCTCAATGCTATCGAAGCATTTCATAATAGTGGTTAGAGATGAAGTAAAACTGAGGTTTGTGCCTTTTACTTCCAGTTTTTTGTTGGTCAGAAAATGTCTAGAGAGACAAAAAATTTATCTATTCTGTGTTAATGTCCAAGTCTAAACAACACTCAGTTTTACTTTGAAAAAAGAGATGAATGAAGAATAAAAAGTACTAGAAAGGGATGGAAATTGATTTCCAGGACGTGTGAGGACGGTGTGAAACATCTGTGTCTCTGTGGCTCTGTAAAACTTCACCAAAGGAATAAAGTTTTAAAAAGCAGCGATGATTAACAGAGTTTCACCGTGACGCAACCCAGAACCACAAACCCTGACAAAACCTTTCAGTCTAGACATTATCCATCTGTTCCCTTCCCCTCTCCTCCCTCCTCTTCAGTCCTTCCCTCCCTTTTTATCCTGCTTCACCTTCCTCATCTCATGTCTTCCTCAGTCAGTCCGCAGCCTGTCCTCCTTCATCTTTATCCTCTAATTTGCTGCCTGCATCTAAGAAGTCATGTCTTGCGGGTTGACAGGTCTGTCCACCTTCCTCCTCCTCCTCCTCCTCAGAGTTCAGAGCTTCGACTTGACTCACGGTGAGTTTGCTCGTTTTAATCTGATCAGCTGGAATAACTGCACCTCTGTGATTATTTATTTGTTAGCGTATTGTCTTCATGGCAGTTTTGCAGAAAACAAAAGACTGAGACAAAAGAAAAACACACCTTCGACCTGTCATCATAAAAAATGCAACGCAGACTGACAGATCAGATGGCAGCACAGACGCCTTAATGCACACAGACATACGACCACAGCACCTGCTGACCTTGGACAGCGTGAAGGAAACAGCTACAAGATTTTAATTAGGAATACAAAGGTTTTTTTAATAAGCTACTGTGTCTTTAAGACAGTGGATCCATCAATATCCTATTGGGTGATTACAGTTTCAATATTTTTCTGGTTTATTAATTGCTTCGTCTGCAAAATGTCATAAGTGATGACAAAGAATCACATTTCTCACAATTGAGTTTTGTTTTTGAAAGTTTTGTTTGTTTTGTTTTACTAATAATTATGATCAAACTGATCCATGGTGATATTTCCCTCCATCAGCTCGGCCCCTGTCCAGTGTTTCAGACTTTGAGCCTCCAGAGATTGATGGTTCTGCTGTGGGCGACACCTGCAGGATTTTTCCTGTCCCCACGCCGGGCCCCCCGACCACCACCACCACCACCACCACAACAACAACAGCCCCACCTCCACCCATCACCAGGAAGGTATCTATGCATCAGATTAGAAGTTGTTTTGTTTAAACTCACATATAGTGTTAGGTTGTCACATATTTTCATCTCTTATTTTTGTCTACTTGATTTATTCTACTTTAATTGATTCAACTTTCCTTTTCATTGTGTTTTAAATGTTGTTCTTTTCTTTACTTAAAGCATTCGCCACCAAAGAAACCAAAGACCAAAGACACTGGAGCACCAGTCAGGCCACGGCCAGCTCCAGCAGGACCAATCGCTAACAACCACCCCAACCCTGCAGCCCGCCTCCTCCACTACCTCCTGACCAATAGCAGAGGACGTGCAGCCGGTTCTCTCCCAGGATTCAACAGTTTTATGTCTCAGCCAATAGGAGGGCTGACATCAGAAAGCGACGAAGTACTGGCAAAGTTGCCAAAGAGAACAGTCGTTAACCGATGGAACGTAGGTTCGTTTTCCTCAGACTCTAGTGACGAGTCTTAAAATGACATCATCAATTACAGATCTGTTTTTTTGGTTGTATTTTTTTGTTTTTATGCAAAACTGAGAGTTTAATGGAAAAGTTAAACAGTTTTGTTAATGTTGTAGCTGCATCACTGTTTTAATATCAGTAAATATTTAGTATGTTGTAGATATTAATTATTGTGCTGTAATAAGGAAACTTTACCAACGCAAACAATCTTCTTTTTAATGTTTAACAAAATATTTACATATGAACGACCTGTTTACTGGGTTCAAATTTGTAATATAATAAAAACAAAAACTATTATTTTAACTGCCGTTATTAAAATTTTCACACATTATCCATCTGTTGTTTGACTAAAGATGCTCCTGTATCAATAAACCAGGTGGAAATGGAACAGCCGGTTCTTCATATTAGCGAAATGTAGCCACCGCTAACGCTAAATGAATGAACAGGATAAGGACGAATGTAATGCATCTTTTTATTTAGGCGAGGTCAGCACTGTTGATGTTGAGGTTTACAGCGATGAGTCCAAATGAAGGAATTTGCGTTCAGAGAGTCGTGTTAGGACGTGTGTTTTGGTGTGTGTGTGTGTGGCGTCTGTCAGTACTGTTGTGTCCGTGCTGCCGTGGTTCTGATGGAGATATGGAGGGAACTGGCTGTTTGTCTTTCCTCTGATCCTTGGTGACGCCTTTGTTGTGTTTGCCTGGGAAAACATGTATTTAGTGTTTCAACAGTTAGGGTCAATAGATAAATAATTTGTACGGAGTTACAACTCAGAAATATATACATCCACTTATATGTTGACCACAAAAGAAGATCTACAACAGTCGCACTCATATTCCATTAATTTGTCATTATTTTTCTCATGTTGTAACATGTTTTTAATTCATAAATAAGAATTGTTGGATAACAATGTGTTTAATTGGTGGCGCTTTCATGCATATTTCTGATTGTTTGAAAGTTTAGTTTGATGTAAAGACCCAGCAAAGTTGAGACTTTTTCTTCAGAGTGAGGTGTTGACACACTATCAATCAACACCTGTCAAACCTTAAAAAAACCTGGATTTCACCACTGATTTTTGTCATTTAAACCGTAGTTAGCCTAAAGGGGGCGCTAATGTTAAAAGTGGAAACTAAGATGTGTATTTGTGTTTTTGTGCATACCATCTCTTCCTCTGAGCTCTGGTAGCACTGAGCTTCTTAGATCTGGGAAATGGATGTCTGATTTCCTTTTGGCCACGGCAACGCCACCGCTGTTACCAAGGTTACAGCGATCAGACAGGAAGGAGCGCTTGCTGATCAGACTCTTATCTGACACCTGAAAGGAGAGTGTAGAGAGAACGCTTTCAATTCTAACTCTGTTGTACACAAGAAAAACATGCATGCTGTTACCTGTGCTGTTATTGATGCTGTAATGTGGCTCGACAGAGACTGTTGGGCCAGTCGACTATAGACGCCACCGTGATGCCTTGGCTTGTCTATACACCTGTAATACACACACAGAGCGTCCTAACACGTGTCAAAACACACATTAGTTGATAATCAAGGATGAAACAGGCTTCACACAGGTACGACAACTTTAGGCAGAGTTCAGGAACATTTCTTGTGACTACTGGTTTGGACCAAAAATATAGAAGCTACTAAACAATTAATGATTTAATGTGCATGTTAGAATTTCACTGGACAATTAAAATCCACACTAGGAGTGACAACAACAGTTCAGGACATACACCAGCTGGTGCTAGCTTAGTTTTTGACTAGGCTTCTTACATCAAAGCAAAGTGGTTAATCAGTACTGCTTCATTAATCAGATGCTAGCTAGCTTGTGTAGTTGTACTTTATCGTTGGGGTCTTTGGGGTGAGGTTTGATATTGTCTCAGGGCCAAGTCATTTAAGTAGCTAAATTGTGGGAACTTTAGTACCTAAGGCTGTGGCTCCCAGGATGGAAACCGGCCCCGAGGGTATGATGATCACTGGTGGCTGGGCTGTTGGCATTGACGACAGAGAAGGTGGGGATAAGGGTTGCTGAGGAAGGAGGGAGGAGGAGAGGAGTGGAAGAGGGAGGAGGAGGTGGAGGAGGTGGAGAGGAATAGGGTACACTGAAATCAAACTCATTAAGGTCTGCGGTATCAGTGCTGTGTAGGACGAAGCTTCTCTTTGAAGCTCTGTGGTCTGGAGTTGTGTCATTCCTTTCTGGCTTGCCATTTGTCTTCCTTGTCTCTGTAAAAAATGTAGTTTTCTGAGTCCTTGTGGACAGTGTTGTGGTGGACATACTGTAGTTGCTAAAAGACCCAACCTTTGCTTGAGATTGTCCAATAAAAGATCTGGAGTGAGGGTGTTTCAAGGATTCAACTTCACTGCTGTCGTTCTTTAGTTTAGGGCTTGAGCTTCCAGAAACCTTTGAGGATTGATTTACTAAAGACTTGGTTCTTGCACTGGTGGACACGGAAAGTGCTAAATCCTCTCTGTTCTCTTTATCTGAGACTTTGAGGGTGTTGGTTTTAGGGATTTCACTCAGTATGGAGGCTGATGTTGATCTGGATTCTGGACTGATCTTAGATTTGAGAGTTGTCTGCTGATGGACACCGGAGGGCTCTGAGGATTCGGGATCCTCTTTGTGATCTTTTCCAGAAGCATGGGATACTGGTATGTGCTTTCCCGCTGCTTTGGTTGCTGGTCTTAGCTTCAAGTTTCCATGATCCTCCTTAATAACCTCGTATGAAGTATTAAAACTATCCTGCTGAGTTTTGGTTTTGACTGATACTTCTGTAAGTTCCCTGTCTTTCTGAAAGCCCTTTGAAGGTTTGTTGGATAAACATGTGATGTCATTTGTGGGTTTAGCAATTGAGGTCAAGACAGTTTTGGACAACTTTGGATTTGATACTCCTTTGGGCAGTGTTGTAGTGCTGTGTGCAGGACTGGTGTCGATAAAAACTTTGAAGGACTGCGTTGAAAGATCTGAAATCCGAGTCTTTGACGGGACGATGGACAAAGACATGTTGGTTTTGGTTATTTCTGAGTCAGAGTTTGAGGTAGCCTTCGACAGCTTGGAGTTTGAAGTCAAAACTTTTGAACATTCAGACACCTGTCTTTGCTCTGGGTCTCGTGCCTGATGCTCCGAAGTAGTGGTTATCTTGCATAGCTTGGTAACAGAAGGGATAATTAGGGTAGTGTGGTCATTGCTTGATGGCTGACACGCTTGCAGTGCCAAGCTTGAGTCTGTTCGATTGACCTTTGATTCCAACAAGGCTTTTGAAGATGAACTCACATTTGGATGGTCAGTGGTTATGCTTTTAGACATTCTGGCCACTTCCTTTTTTGCATTGTTCCAGCTTTTCCCATACTCCTGATTTAGCATCGATTTAGAAGATCTACAGATGTCCATCACATTTTTCTCAGTCCTACTTGACACAGTTGTGTCTGAGCCACTAGAATGCAAACTACTGGAATCTATATCTTTTGTCTTCTTTGTACTTTGTAAATGGTCTTCCGTTGGTTCTACAGAAGCAACTTTCCCATGTTTAGGTTTAGCTACCACTGTGTTATCGTTCTTCAGACCTGTTATGGTCCTTGTACCTTCTGACGAATTAGAAGAAAGGGTTTTACCTGATTTAGAAATCTCAAGTTCCTTCATTAACCCTGCACCAGTGGCTTTTCCTGCTTCACTTTTCATGGCCACTGAAGCCCTTGGTACAGTATTGACTACCTTAGCACCTAATGTCTTGGACTGTTTGGTGGACATCAAAGGTTCGGAGGTGTTCCGAATAGTTTTAGAAAGCTTTGAAGGTTGTTTTCCTTTTGTTTTCTCCGTCTTTTCGTCTTTCTTCTCCTTTTCCTTGTTAACTTTCTCATCCAGATCCTCCAGCTGTTTCTTTTCTTTGCCTCTCTGGTTTCTCTCATTTCCATCATCCTTTTCTCGTCTTGGGGTTTTGGTTATTTTGGGAAAGATAGAGTTTTCCCTGATGTCCTTTTGGATCTTGGCATTCAGCTCATTTAAAAACCTGTATAGATACATAGATACAATAGATACAGCAGTTTAGTAAATTGCTTACGGAGGCTACCCAACAGTCAAAGGGTTGATTCATGCTATCCACTTGTTGTCCAAGGGGAGAGTTAGCAGACTAAAAAATGTTGCTAAATACTCTCTCAAACCTTATCAGAGTATTCGATTAGGTTAGTTGCTCTGTAAAAATAATCTGCTCATGACAATTGTTGAATTGTCTGTTAAACTACAAACACAAAGATACCTGATGTGGAAAGAGTCCTGTGTGAACAGAGGATGTTCTAGCAGTTCTGAACACTGAGCTCGTCTTTCTGGGTCCATCTGGAGACAGCTCTGAAAGCGATGACAGAAAGGTGTTACCGATTCTGATATGTCTTACTTCAGATCTAAAAAGGACTAAACATAATGAACAAATTCATAGCTTGCAATACATCTCTTGGCTTTTAATCAACAGAGCTTTTAAGTTCCTGACTTCCATCGCTCTTACTGTATTTAAAACCTAGCAGGTCATGAACAGAGCTAAGCTACATACTAGCAGCTGGTAAACTGTATTTGTATGTGAAGACGACGTGGCTCATAACGTTTATTATTCATTCAGTGTTTCCTCTCCTCTCTGTTCCGGTACCCTTTACCACTCGGACTGGGAGAATGATAGAATTTAATACGCCATCGTCCTGTAATTACACCGTCTGCCACCAGAGGCTGCTGTTGCCTTTGCCACTAAGCAAAAGTTACATAGTTTTACTCTCAGTCAATTAACTATATAGACTAAATTGTACCTGTGCCAAGTCTATGGCAGTGGATGTGATTGTAGGGAAGCGCTGCTGCAGTGGGACTTGGCCGTAACATTCTGGCAACCTGACTCCAGAAAAGACGGGATTCCTGTAGAACAACTCCTGGTGATGAGCAGTCAGGTTACCTGTTATAGAAAAAAAGGAGAACTTAATGGTGTTGAGTGGGTTCATAAAGGAGATTTAGCATATAGGCCTATTTTTGCTTACCAAAGCACCTGACGATGTGGTAGATTTGGTCGAGGTCAGAGTCTCCGGGAAACAGAGGTTGACCTGTTAGCATCTCTAATAATAGACAACCTACAGCCCACACATCCACTGGTCTACACACACACACACACACACACACACACACCTGTTAACATTTTTATCAACAGACAACGTAGAGCTAACATCCACAGGGCTACACGTAAACACTTACTTTCCGTATTTAATGTCTCCCACCAGCAGTTCAGGGGCTCTGTACCAGCGAGTGGCTACGTAGTCGGTGTAGACGCCGCCGTCAGCAGGCGACGCCATAGTGCGAGCGAATCCGAAATCGCACAGCTTGACCACGCCCTCCTGAGAGATGAGGATGTTCTCTGGTTTAATGTCACGGTGGATGATCTGTGTGGGAAAGAGACGAAGAACGAGCTAAAGTCTGTAATCCTTCATCTGCTAGCCATATTGGAAGACCTGGAGAGGAAGACCTAAAAGTCTAAGACCTGACTTCAGGTGTTTGGACGAATGCTTCATTGCGTGTCCTCACATTTTGCTGGTGGCAGAAGGCTGCAGCCCTCAGGATCTGGTACAGATACTGGCGGCTGGTGTTCAGGTTGAGTCCACTTGGGTTTTGCTCCAAATCGTCCAGGAGTGTCCGCTCCACAAACTCAAACACCAGATACCAGCGGCGACGGCGCTTCCACACTTCCAGAAGGTTCACCAGGTTGCCGTGACGCAGTTGCTTTATGGCGAGAGAGACAAGAGCGGAGAAATAAGCATTTGTGAATCTAAAGCTGGACCTGGTTACTCTGACTGTATGTCTCATGTTTTATTAAAGCATTTTTAACTTGATGCAAATTCGCCTACAACCTTGTATGAACAATTAAGCTAATTTTAGCTCGCAGCAGCTGATTTGTCTTCTTCTAAATGTAAGAATAGCACTCTGAGTTGTTTTGGTTGTGTTTGTCTTGTGATTGACAGGCTGCTTTTGTGTTTTGCTTCACTCAGGTTTCAGTCTCATTCAGACTTGATTGACTGATTGGCTGACTGGTTGGGTGATGGACTGACTGACAGGTTTACCCTGAGCAGCTTGATCTCCCTCTGGGCGATCTTCTTCACCATCTTGTCATCGTCGGAGTCCATGAACTTCTTGATGGCAACGAGGCGGCCGGAGTCTCGATGACGGCACTTCAGCACAGTGCCGTAACTGCCCTCCCCGACCAGACCCAGAGACTCATAACGCTCCATTACAGGCTGTTACCTGGAGGGTGTAGAAACAGTTAAGACCAACCGATTCTAAATATTTTAACAAAACCATTAAAGAATTAATTAAATACTGTAAATACTGCTGTAGCTGGCCAGTTATCTCCCATCACATGTGTTGTGGCAGCTAAACATACAATGACATCCCATTAAACTTACATTATCCACAGTGCTATGGACCATTAAACTTACTGTGGTGGAATATCACAAATGTGACAGAAACACTACAGAACATAAACAACAACCTGCTGAGTTCATGTCCGCTGAAATGTACAGTAAAGGTCAGACGAGCAGTTTCTAAACACACACACACACACACACACACACACACACACACACACACACACACACACTAACCTTACAGGGGAATTCCTTTTGAAGCTTTAATCGGTGCCGTGAACTTCCGTTATCAACGTAAACACTGGAGTAACGTTTTGTGTGTGTGTGGACAGTCACCGGAGAAGACAACTTCACTCTGTGTCCCGGTATGTGCGTGTGTGTGAGTCCGTGTGTGTCCCTGCAACTGCCTGCTGCCACCGACAACGTTGCCATGGTAACGCCCCCCGCCATGCTCCACACAGGGAGATCGAACCATCCGTGGATAGAACGTTACGTCAGCGAAATTAAATTTAAAAAAGTTACAGCGAAATTAAAGGAAAAGAAGAAAAAAAAAGAGAAGAACGTTACGTCAGCGAAATTAAATAAAAAGACCGTTACGTCCGCAATGAATAAATGAATAAATAAAAATAAAAAAGACCGCAATTAATAAATAACCGTTACGTCAGCATAAAAAAAAATGAGCACAGCGTTTTTGGATAAAATAATGCAAATTATTTGTAATCTCGTTTGCTCTGGAAATATGCTGTCAACATGCTGATGACTCATTTAATAACTGTCAAATGAGACAGTGCAATGTCTGTCACTGTGTACAGACAGCTGTCTGACGATTAGTCTTTCTAGAAAGACTAATCGTTCTAATGGTGCAGTTTCAGTCTAATAATCACTCATTAAAATGACTAATTACTTGATAAGCGACAACTTTCTAGTGAACAGCAAGTCAACAACATATCTGTGGGTCTCCTGTTCAACTTTTTCATTCACTGGCTTTCACATGTGACACTGACAGAAGCTCTCTACCATCACCGACTGTCGGCTTTAGAGCACTACACAATGCTGTAATTTCCCCTCCCTTCTGCAATTTAGAAGAATAGAAGTGGCATCAAATCATAATTATTAGACGCTAAGACAAAAGTATGAGAAACTGACAAACTGTCCTTTACAACTGCAAATTACAAAAGAAAGAGGCAAAGTTACAGGTGAATATTGTGAAATCTCACATGTTCATGAAGCGCTTATTATTATTTCCATTTTTTGACACAAAATTCAAACTGTCAAAGCATCACTTCAAGGAAGGAAAGTATGTTTGAACAAGTTATCTGAAAATATTTTAATGAAAAAATAAATATTTACAATGACAAATTACACTCTGTGTACATTTATGAAAACAGTGAAAAATAGTTTGAAAGTCAGCAATGGTACGTGTTTGTGTATGCGTCTGTTAATCTGGATTTTCTGCCAATTTCCTGATTTCCTCCAGCAGCTCAGAGAAAGGCGGCCGACCCTGAGGCTTCTACACCACCACCACCACCACCACCGAAGAAGAATGGATGAGGCGAAGAAGAACAGAAGAGATTGAAGGGCAGAGCAGGAAGAGGAGGAGAAGGTGTGATGCAGTGGTTAACAAAAGGTGTGATCATCATTCTCTTGTACACATGTTATGAATTCAAATCTGGTACATTGGTTACGTGATAAAAATCTCAGAAGTAAGTGCACTTGTGATAAGAAGTTTTTCTCAAAATGATCATCCTGATATTTCATTGCAGCAACAGAAACACTGAATGAATGAACGAAAGAATGAGTGGGTGGGTGAATACCTCGTGCCAGCAGCGGTACATGATGGCGTACAGCGGTTGTGAGGCTCGGTGCGGTCGGTACAGCCGGATCCCTCTGGTGATATCATTAACCACTTCCAAGTTGGAGCGGTTTTCAAACGGAGTCCGACCCTCCGAGTAGATCTCCCACATCACCACACCTGCACATGGACACACTCGGCCTCAGTACTGTAGTAAAACCTTCTAAAATACTGCGACCACTACTGCTTGTACTACTACGACTACTTTATATTTTGGCTCGGAACATATGAAAATTGTTATTCTTAACTTCCTGTAAAAAGGAGGTGGCAGGTTTTCTTGATTGTTTTGATGCATGGTTAGTAAGTTAAATGGTAGATGTCTTGCAAACCATGTTTTCTATTGGATTGTTGTGTGAAAATAAAAGAGAACTGGAAGGGTCAAGTGAATGCATCACCTCCGTAAAGTTGAGTTTCAGAGGTATTTTGTCACACCTGAATCTCCAGTATTCAAGACATGTATTGATTCAGGATTCATTGGACATTGGAAATTTCAGCTTTAAGTTACTGCTTTTGACTACAGCTGCTTCACGTCTAAAAAAGTTAAAACTGGTCCAATCCAATCAATACTCTTGCTATGAGAACTGCCTGTACTAGTATCTCAGCACTAAGTGGATGGTGAGGTCTGTCTGAGGTTCCTCACCGAAGGACCAGACGTCAGACTTGCTGCTGTATTTACTGTAGTGGAGAACCTCAGGAGGAGACCACTTCACAGGGAACTTGGCACCGCTGGAGCTGGTGTACTGGTTGTCTAGAACGTACCTGCAACCAACAACGTAGAGTCAAAACATACACCTGTAGAACTGCTGATACAGTAAAACTGACAAAACATAGTTTCTAGCCATGCTAGCCGTTTCCCCCTGTTTGCAGTCTTTGTGCTAAGCTAAGCTAACCAGCTGCTGGCTCTGGCTTCATATTTACTGTACAGACTAATAAAAGAGCTAATAAGCATGTTTCCCAAAATGCTGAATATTCCTTTAAAACTTAAAAAAATTGCAGCCATACCTGGTCATCCCAAAGTCGCTGACCTTCACCACGTTGTGCTCATTAACCAGACAGTTCCTGGCCGCCTGGATGAGAAAAGAAATAACCAGAAACCTATGACAAAAAGCTTTATACTTTTATTCTGATTCATTTGAGAGGGAAATATTGTACTTCCTGTATCTTACAAAGGGAGAACAGTAACTACAGACACATTGAAGCTGAGTTAAAACCTTCAGCGCTCTTATCCATCAGAATGAATGAACTAGTTTAAAACATAAATCTAAATATATTGGGTATCAACCAGACAGTTTACTGCCACTTATCTGGGTCCAGCTCATTATAATTAATAAATTATTTTACTAAGAATTATTCTTGTTGTATTGTTGTTCAAATATCTTTCAATTTAATTTAGTGAAACCTGTAAAAACCCTGATATAAAATTGTTCAAATTTGCTCCAACTTTACCAACAGCAAGGCGCGATTTGTAAGTAATCAGTTACTGAAACCACCAGTAGAAACACCGGACAGTTGAATCCCTCTTCCCAGCATCACTTGTGTTTTACAGTCACTAGTTTCATTATTAAAATGCACAACAAACCGCAGACACACACACAGTGACTCACCAGGTCTCTGTGGATAAAACTATGAGACTCCAGGTACTCCATCCCCTCGCAGACGTCCTGGCACATGGACAGAAGCCACGCCTCCTTCACACCTCCACCCTTCTGCCGCAGGAAGTTCAGCAGGCAGCCGTTCTCCATGAACTCGGCCACGATCAGCAGGGGGCGCTGTTTCAAGCAGACTCCATACAGCTGCACCAGTTTAGGGTGGCACAGTCTCCTGGGAGAGGCAACAAACACAGACTTTCACTTCTCCGTTTTGACAAGAGTCAAAGTTTTCCAGAATTAATGGAAGGTGTAGCTTTTCTTTTAAAGCTCCCTCAGTCACTCCTTCCTTACATCATGACCTTGGCCTCCTCGATGAAGTCCTCCTCGTACATGGCTCCCTCTCTGATGGCCTTGATGGCCACTTTGTGCTGAGACCTCCACTTGCCGAGCCTCACCAGGCCGAACTGCCCGCTGCCCAGCTCCTTCATGAAGGTCAGCTCACTGGGGTTGAGCTCCCATTTTTCTGGAGGGACGGAAAGAGAGAGAGAGACAAAGAAGAGGGGCAGGATAATGGATGGAAAAAAAAAGAATGAGAGATATAGTGGAAACAGAAGAAAAAGAAACATAAATTAGACAAAACTGTATGAAATTGTTTTTGTACACCAGTCGATCAGACTGTAAGAGATAAAGATAAAGATTTAACTATCCTAAAAGTTCTCAATATTTTGGGGAAAGAGCCACAAAGTCTGAGATATAAAGTACAGTATCGTCTGCATATAAAGACACTTTATACTTATTTCCAGCTTTTATCTCTCCCTCAAACTTTAGTATGAAACTTAATGTCAAGGACTTTTAATCGCAAATATTTACCTGAGCTGAATCCTGATGTAGCAGGTACACACCTTCCCATTGGCCCCACTGCATATCGCAACCTCGTCACTAGACCTATAAACGGACACACACATAACAAACCATATCAAATGAAGCATTACTAAATCGTTGCACTGTTGTTTCATTAGCACGCATAAAAGTGTACATACCTGCCGCGTTGTGTTCATGGTAGTGTATGACATCCGGTATGGAGTTGAAGGTGTGTTTTTCAGCCAAGAAGAATTGTCCGGTGTCGCTGAGTTTGATCTGGTAATGCCTAATATCTCCGCTAGTGCTGCACGTACACACACAAAGGAAAAGTTCATCAGTTTGCAGGTAAAGACTTATTGTACATATTCATTTTGTCTAGGATTTTAACCTTCAGTTTAGAAGCTGTGATGTGAATCACCTTAACGTCTTGGTGTAAACGGAAACGGTGTAGACTCCCTTCTCGCTGGACTCCCGCACCACAAACCCACCCTCTTTGTCCTGGAAAACAACCAGAAACACCATCGTTTTACCCAGAAGACACTAGGATGAACATTAGATTAGAT